GGAGAGGAGTTTAGCTGGTGGCAAGTTTCTGAGTAGAATTCTGAGGTCATATTCAGAAGCAGGCAGCGTGGATGCAATCTATGGGTCTGTGACAGCTGCCTTTGGACAGAATAGATAAACGTGATAATCCCCTGGCTTCTCATTTTGGGGGGGTGGAGGAACAGCTCAGATTCAGTTAAGAATTGAGCCCCATTAAAGACAGCAGAAATGTCATTGTTCTGAAGCCAATTAGGAGGAAAAAAGGAAGGACTGGGGGCTAGTCTGGTTAATTGGTTGTCATCTTCCTGGCCTCACTAGATTCTCAGCTCCTAAGAATCCTTATTAATGAACCTGAGGAAAAGGTTACCATCTGGACCTGCTAATGAAGACTATTCCAGGAATCTGACAGTAATTGAGTGGGGTGCATTTGGGGTTATTCTGCTAAGCAAAAGAGGCCCTTGAGATGGCTAGACCCATGAATTGGTAACTTGAGTCAGAGTTCTCACACTCTGGGTACCTTTGAGATGACAGTAAAGACATCTCCTTGGCATGACACAAGAGCTCCCCCTGTTTGGCGTCCTACTGACTCATTTCCCACCACTTAAGGTTTTCTGCTCTAAGGATAACTGCTGTGACTCTTTTGGCGTAGCCCAAGGCTGGTTTTTGCCCCCTTATCTGTGCTCACGCTGTCTCCCCTCCCTGTTGTGCTGTGCTAGACACGCCTGTGCTCACACATACACTCACAGTGACATGTCTTTGTCTAGCAGATATCTGCTTAAGCATTTGCTTCTCCAAGAAACCTTCCCTGGTCTTCAGGCTTAGTGAGATGCTTTCTCTGTGCCCTGACAATCCCCTGGCTTCTCTCCATTTCAATACTTATTACCCTAAATATTATCAAAGTGTCTATCTTCCACAATAGACTAGGGGCTACTCAAAGGTAGGGGCTGTGTCTGATTCAACTCACTGTCCCCAGTGCCCAGCACAGGGTCTGCTGTGCTTGTTGAGCTGAGCTTTCATGACTCACACTATCCGTATCCCCTCAACCACACCCTCTGTGCTCATTCCCACCTCCTTAATTCAACTATTCATTCCACCAACATTCACTAAGCACCTACTCTTCCAGCTGGTGCAGGGACTCAGAATGACATAGTCCCTGTTTGGGGAGCTCCCTGTCTACATGGACTTTTGTCATGCAGAAGGAAGCACAGAGGAGAATGAAGACACTATATGTAAGCTGAGTCCTGAAGAATGAGAAGTTAGGTGAAGAGTTTTACTTAATTCTTTTTAATTTAATTTAATTTAATATTTACATATTCATTTATTTATGGTCTTGAACACCTGGCCTTAAGCAATCTTCCTGCCTTGGCACCCCCAAAGCACTGGGATTCCAGGCTTGAGCCACTGGCATCTAGCCAATTTTGCTCAGTTCTGTTTTCTTTCTTTCTTTTCTTTTCTTCCTTTTCTTTTCTTTTTTGAGACAGAGTCTCACTCTGTCACCCACTGGAGTGCAATGGCTCAATCTTGGCTCACTGCAACCTCCACCTCCCAGGTTCAAGCAATTCTCCTGCCTCAGCCTCCCGAATAGCTGGGATTACAGGTGTGCACCACCACACCCAGCTAATTTTTGTATTTTTTAGTAGAGATGGGGTTTCACCGTGTTGTCCAGGCTGGTCTCAAACTTCTGACCTCAAGTGATGCACCAGCCTTGGCCTCTCAAACTGCTGGAATTACAGGCGTGAACCACCATGCCTGGCCTGAGTTCAGACTTTAAAGGCTCACATCCTCACTAATTTCAAGAAGCTTCCTCCTCCTCTCCTTCCCTGCCAGCCTCTCCCTCTCCTGCATCCCTGCATGGCCTCTGGTTTCCTCTACCTGGGTTAGAATGTTACAGCTTGTTCTGTCACTATTCCAACTGACAGTGAGACAAGGAGGCATAAGGGACAGACCCCTGGCCCATCTCTGAGTCGGTTTTCCTGTCTGCCAATTACGAGTGCTAATGCTTGCCTTGCCCAACTCCACTCACATGGTTGTTTTTGTATTTGTGAACTGTTAATGTGAACTGCAGTTGTGGGAGACTGATGCCTTTATTAGTGTGTCTTTTCCACAACTATATTTGATCTCCCTGTATCTCTAACACTCAACACAAGACATGGCACAAAGTCAGTGTTCAATAAAGACCTGGTGGGCCAGGTGTGGGGGCTCATGCCTGTAATCCCAGCACTTTGGGAGGCTGAGGTGGGTGGATCACCTGAGGTTTGGAGTTCCAGACTAGCCTGGCCAACATGGTGAAACCCATCTCCACTAAAAATACAAAAATTAGCCAGGCATGGTGGCAGGTGCCTGTAATCCCAGCTACTCGGGAGGCTGAGGTAGGAGAATCACTTGAACCTGGGAGGCAGAGGTTGCAGTGAGCTGATAATGCCACTGTACTCCAGCCTGGGTGACAGAGCAAGACTCCGTCTCTCAAAATAAATAAATAATAAATAAAATAAAAATACCTGGCTTATTGATTGACTCTAAGTGATGAAGACAAAGAGCTTTATTCAAAGGCCCTGGGAGACAATAGAGGTACAAGGAAGCTGGGACTAAGGTGGGCCAGGAACATATAGGAAAGACAGTTGCCATGTATTCAGATACTTTTGTGGATTTAATTATTATTACCATCCTATGGGGTAGGTAATATTCACTTCATTCTACAGATGAGGAAACAGAGACTGGGAGCAATTACCCAAGAACACACAGCTAGTAGCTGCCCTCTGTACAATGCAGCATGTCCTCCCCTCAGTGCCACTTCCTCACAAGGGATTTGTGCTCCTGACCTTGAACTGTGTCCTCATCTTCATCTGAACTGAAAACCTATTTACTTATTTACCTGTCTCTTTTCTAGGTAAGCAATACACTGCCTGCACCTCCCCAAACACTGCCATTTGCAATAAGGCAGTCAAACAATGGGGAGTCCTTTTTTGTGGTGTTCATTATGGAAAAACAATATGCTGGAGAATCTCTGAAGCTGAGTTTCTATGGCCTGAGGATAATGAGCCAGCAACTGCCTCTTTCTTTGTCACATGTCCACAATTAGCAGGCACTTCTGCTGCTTGTCTTTCTCAGGTCAGGAAATGGGCCACAGGAGAGAGGCTGTCAGCTGCAGGTGGGCTGGCAGGAACAGCATATGCCTTCCAGCTGGGAAGGCTGGGAAAAGAGGGGCCTTGTTTATACCTGGGGGCTTCAGCCCTTCTGTGGAAGGTGGAATAATAGGGAGAAAAAAGGAGGGAAAAGAGATCCCTCCTGTGTTAGAGAAGATGATAAAAGAGGGAGAAAGAGATGGAGAGGAGGTGGGAGGAACAAGATGAAAGAACGGAAATAAACTGTCTTTATAACAGGCCACTTGTTACAGCACTGTATTCATCATCTCACTCAATCCTCCCACCTGCTCTTGGTAAGAAGACACTGTTGTTTTTCTTATTTGACAACAAGGAGTCTGAGAATTAGAAAGGTTAAGTGAGCAGAGAGGTGAAGTGACTTGCCCAGACTCAGGCACTGTTAGTTGGATTAAAGCAGAGGAGGCCAAAAGACTTGTAAAGGAAGAAAAAGGTGTAATAAAAAAAAAAAAAAAAAAAAGCAAAGGAAAGAGAAAAAGAGGAAGAAATGAGAGGCAGAGTTGTGTGTGGACTTTGGAGACAGCCAAACCCAGACCTAAACCCAGTTTCCACTAATACAGCCACATTACTTTGTGTGAGTTATGTAGTCTCTCATATTCTCATTTAAAAAATGGAGATAATGTTATTTACCCAACAGGTTGTTGTGAGGATTAAAGAAGATGGTATCAGTAAAGTTCCTAGCATAGTGTCTGGCATATAGTATTTGCCCCAAAGATATTAGAAATCCCAAGGAGAAAGTACAAGGAACACAGGGGAAAACCTCTGAAAGAAGGGAAAGAAGGCAGACAGACAAGAGAAGTGGGAGAGAGGGCCAGGGACTGATAAAGAGGGCCACTTTTGCTTCTAAGGGCTGCCACCAAGCTGACCAAGATTCCTCGGGTGGAAAGCAGCCTTTTTGAATCGGGAGAGCCTTTGCTGTGTCTCTTTGGACAACCAAGTTCTGTTCATCACAGAAAGTGTTGCTAAGGATTTCAAGATACAAAATAGACAAGAATGTTGCACACGTTGGATGTAGTTTTCCCTGGGCCTTTTGTTGGGTTTGTGGAGGCAGAGTGAGATCTATTGGATCATTTCCGTGGAATTCAGAGAAGAGGAACCCCACTGTGTGGAAATAAACCAGTGTGGCTATGGGTGGAAAGGGCAAAGAAGACTTATTCAGTGTGAATCTTGAGGTGGCTCCCAGAGCCCAGACCAGAATTGGCCAGCCTAGGGGGAATGAGAGGCAGGGGGAGGAGGAGGAAAATCCCTGTGAAAAAGTCCAAAACTAAGGCTTCTCATACTGGTGCCTTTCTTTATCTTGGGCAAGGTAGCTTACTTCTGTAAGCCAGTGTTTGCATTAGTGAAGTGGAGAGAATCTGACTGACACTCCTTCCTCAGGGGCAACATGAAGATCAAATAAAATAATCGATGCGATAAGTGGGTTGAAAACTATGAAGTCCTGTGCACACACATTTATGCATTTGCTCTGTCAGCAAACACTAATGACCTCCTCTGTGTCAGGCACAGGGCTATACATTTTACATACATTGTCTTGTCTAATCCTTGAAATAACTCTATGAGGTAGGTAGAATTATCCTTTTTACAAACCAGGAAATTGATTTGTAAAGAGAATAAATGACTTGGCCCAGAATTAAACAGCTGGGCAATGGTAGAGCTAGGATCAGTCTGACTGTAAGACCAGAACAGGAAACTCTTGCCCTGTACCGTCTCCTTGAGGCAGAATCCCCTGCTCATGGAATTGGGCCTCTTTGCTTCACTCCTGAGCACCGGACACGTTAATCCAGAGTGCTTGGGCTGAGCGCACAGAAGGGTTCCAGCAGAAGGGATGGGAAAAGTCCTTATCTTTACCTCTTCTCTTTCCAGGGTTTGATTTCTTTGAAGCCAGTGCAAAGGAGAACATCAGTGTAAGGCAGGCCTTCGAGCGCCTGGTGGATGCCATTTGCGACAAGATGTCTGATTCAATGGACACAGACCCCTCGATGCTGGGCTCCTCCAAGAACACGCGTCTCTCGGACACCCCGCCACTGCTGCAGCAGAACTGCTCATGCTAGGCAAGGCCCACCTTCCTGACCTCCTCTCATTGTGGCCCCATACCCAGTCTGCTTCTCTCTGTTACACACTGTCCACTCTCAGACCTGAGGAAGATGAATCGCTGCTATTCTTTGCCTGCCCCTGGGGTTTTCTGCAGATGGTCCCAGTAATAGATACTCAACACTAGACGAACAGAACAGGTCACTACACAGGTGGAGATTCACTTTACAAAAAAAGACTCTGTTTTACGAAGGGGATCCACTACAGGGACTTAGAAAGCAGTCTCTTCTCTGCTTTTAAAATAATAGTTCCTCCATTTATCAAGATTTGACACACACACACTCTTCAGGGGCAGGCCAGTTGTGTAAAGTGAGGCTTGCCTGCATAGCTAATCCTATTAAAGATAACTTCCCAAAGCACAGCGTGCTTGTTTCATATTGGGCTCCCTGTGGGGCTTTCGCTCACTACAAGTAAAGCTTGGGCTCTCAAAGACCTGTGCCTGTTACCACAGATGCCCAGAGGGCCTGGGCAGTTGCTGTGGTGACAGGCAGAGCTAATTTTTAGAGAGCTCAGATTCTCTAATGATGCTGATGGCATAAAGGCTGAGTCAGAAACACATTTAAGAGAAAAAGATTATCTCCTGCAAAATGTCAGAAGTTCCTGTTATATGAAAGAGTAGGCAAGTAAGCTTAAGAAAGACAAAGAGAAAGAGAAAAAGAAAAAGAGAAACACAGGCAAGATCAAGAAACAGATTGCTGCTTTTCCAGTGGGTTCTTAACTGTGGGAACTTAGTGAAATTGGTTATTGATTCTTAGACTCCTGGAACCTGAGGATTTTAGAGTTGATGGGATTCCCAAATTTACCTAGTCTGACTAGTCAATTCTAACTTTCCTTTTTCTGAGAAGTGACTGTCAAGCCTAACAACCAAATCTCTTTCTTCTACAGCACACCTTCTAGGCAGGGACAGGAGCTCATTTTCCACACCATCTTGGTCAACTCTCATAGAATGTTTTCCTTCCTTCAAGTTCAAATCTGCCTCCTGGAAATTCTTCTTCTTCCCACCCTATTGGTACCAGCTCTGCTGTTAGAGACTTCACAGTCTCTGCTCCCTCTGCCCTGTGACACCCTCAGACTACTTGAGAACAGGAATCATGGCTCCTGGGATTCACCTTTTCTCTAGGTCAAATACCTCTATAATTCCACCTGCTGTTCTCCATAGGGTCTTCTCTCCATCCTGCCCCTTGACTCCAATCTGTCTTTTAATTGCTCCTGAGCAGTCTAATTGAGAAGTACAATTCAAAGAAAAGTAAATCTAAGGTATCATGACCCTGAAAAAATTGAGAAAATTGAACTCAGAGGTCCTGAGCCCAACTCCATTCTCCTGGGAGTGAAACCTTAGCTTTTACCAGAGAGCACGGGAAACCAATTCTGGTGGAAACCCTTAATTAAACACCTGAGGAAAAAAAGAAAAGAAACTCAGAGACCAGAATGGATTGTCTCATTATTCTAGCTTGGTTGGCCACAGGGACATATTTGGTTTTGGCTGAAATAATGACATGGAACTGGCAATGATTCCAGAAAATGTTTCTTCTTAATCATGGCCTGAATCCTCAGCCACCTCAAAAGTCAGTGGCAGGGGGAGTCTCTCCCCAGTTTTCTCTTCATTTCAAATGAGGCTCATTGGCTTAGAAAAATACATTAACTAGCAACCAGTCCAAAGACTAAAAAGGACCATCGAGGGCGGCTGTGGCTCACACCTGTAATCCCAGCACTTTGGAAAGCCAAGGCAGGAGGATCATTTGAGGCCAGGAGTTCGAGATCAGCCTGGTCACTATGGTGAAATTCCATCCCTTCAAAAAAAAAAAATTAGCCAGATGTGGTACACGCCTGTAGTCCCAGCTACTTGGGAGGCTGAGGCAAGAGGATTGCTTGAGTCCAGGAGTTTGAGGTTGCAGTGAACTGTAATCATGTCACTACACTCCAGTCTGTCTCTCTATCTCTCTCTTTTTTAAAGAACCATCCAGAGTCAGCTCTACAAAAGATGTTGCTTTCTTTGATGCCATGCTGAGAACAGAGCTTTGGGCTTGGAGATCTGGACTCTCATTAAATCGACTGTGACTCTGGGCCAGTTACTTCCCATCTTTGAGTCTTGATTTCCTACTTATAAAATGAAAGAGCTTATTTGGATGATCTTTAAGGTCCCTTTTGGCACTAATAACTTGGTGACTCTTTTTTTTTCACCTTCACCATTTCAGTTGATCCACCAAACAAACCTGAGAGATCAGGATTGGCATCCCAGTGTTAGCTTGGCTAACACTGATGTCTTGCTTACTCTGTGCTAGAAATTGTTCCAAGCATTTTATATGCAGCAACTCATTTATCTTCCCAGCATCTTATGAGGGAGGCACTAAATTGAGCCTCATTTAAAGATGAGGAAATAAAGGTACAAAGTGGTTCTAGCCTGACCTCTAAAGTCACATCATAAGTAAATGGTAAAGCTGGAGTTCAAATCCCAGCAGTGGGCTCCAGGGTCTGTGCTCTTAACCACATTCTGGGATGCATCTTTTATAGACAAACTACGATCCAGAGAGGTTATGAGACTTGGATCATATACCGAGAGTGTTAAAGCCACATTAGGATTCAATTCCAGGGCCATCAGATTCCAAGTCCAATGGAGAAAAGACTTAAATCTCTAATCTGTTAACAAATTGCTCAACTACTCAGACTAATCTGAGGTGATGGATGTCTAATGCTCAGGAAAGGCAAGTTAGTCTCTGAGGCAACCAGATCCCATGGGCCTAGGTAGAAAAGCCCAGGGCTGGCTCTCCTTGTATTTGCCTTTGCCAGGCAACACTTAACAGGCTCCCAAGCAGCGGGAGTTTCCATGCTCCACTTCGAACAGCCTCCAAGCTCCAGCAATGGGGCATTTGTGAAGAGTGACTTGATTAACTTTTCTGACCATGAGGAGAATATAGTTGCTTCACAGGGCAGTAGTTCTGGATGTGACACTGTGTCATGGATAATTACTATTTTTTTCTGATCATTAATACTCATCTAGTACTCAGATTTCAGACCAAGGTCCTCATGACCACTGGATATTTTAGTATCTATATCCAATAATCTTTTCTCTCTTACTGAATATCCAGGCAAAGATCCAATATTTTTCTTTAAAACTGTCAAATTCTGTAAAATTCAGGAGCCAGTTCAAGGGAACAAGCATCTTCACAATAGATGGAATCAAGAGTTAAATGTTATAGTGGCAAGCTCTTCTACTGGGCAACAGACAACCAGACGTGCTTGTGAGATGGCAGCTCCCCAGCCCTGTCTGCGACCTCATTTCTGTCGAGTGAAAGGCAGCAGCTCAGCTGATTGCAGCATAGTGTTCATCAATCACGGTAATAGCGCAATTAGCCACCACGGTTCAAGCCGCATAATATGTGTTAGTGGCAACTTATCTTGGATTTAATCTTCCTAAACAATTCAAATAAAAGATTTAAAAACTCTTGACTTCTGGCCGGGCATGGTGGCTCATGTGTATAATCCAAGCACTTTGGGAGGCTAAGGCTGGCGAATCACCTGAGGTAAGCAGTTCAAGACCAGCCTGGCCAACATGGTGAAACCTCATCTCTACTAAAAATACAAAAATTAGCCAGGCATGGTGGTGGGCACCTGTAATCTCAACTACTGGGAGGCTAATGCAGGAGAATCACCTGAACCTGGGAGGCGGAGATTGCAGTGAGCCAAGATTGTGCCATTGCACTCCAGCCTGGGTAACAGAGCAAGACTCTGTCTCAAAAAGAAAAAAAAAGAAAGAAAAAAAACCCTTTTGATTTCTAAAGAGGCAAAAGTGGACCAAAAGTACAATACAGTATCATGGTTGTTTACAGAATCTGTTTGAAGTGCACGTGTATCTGTAAATATAAAGTGATTCGTGACTTATTGTGTCCTCAGTCTGTAGCATTATTAACTTCTAGGAGCAGCAGTGGGGTAGAGTGTACTGAATGGTCATAGACTCATTGATTAGTAGGTCTGGAAAGGAGCTTAGAGAAGATCTGTTTCAGGCTCCTATTTTATAGAAAGGAAGGTTGACATTCAGGGAGTTGAAGGAAATCTCCTAATTACTCTGAGAGTACCTCAGTGGTGGAGCCAGGACTAGGTCCTGGACCACCTCTAAGAAGACACTTAGCTATTTGAGTATCAACTAGGGCCTAGCATTATTAAGCACTAGGAAAGTACAGATGAAAAGAAATGATCCCTGCCTGCAAGATCCTTATGATCTAATGGAGGTGCTGCCTCTAAAATACTATTATCCCAATTTGGCAGTCATGGAAACAGCCCTGGAAAAGTTAACATGCTCAAGTCACCCCACTAGTATCATTTGAACCCTCCTCTGACTCATGCTCTTTCAAATTTTTTTCTTCAGATTGTCTTAGAAGAAGGGTAGATAGGGTATGCCCTCTGGTAGTACCAGACTCCCAAGGATTCTTAGAGTTGAACAACCTCAGTTAAATAAATAACCACAATTGCTTGGTGACTGAAGCCTTATAACATCCACAGAATTATAAGACCATCCTCCAGACCTAACTCCCCAACTCATATCACCTGCTCCTGCCTGCCGCTAAGCTCCTTACTTGGATATTGAGTTTCCTGGAGTGTCCTGAGGAATGTTTGTTTGACTTTGTTTGCCAACAATTTGGGGGAAGGAACTACAATAATCAGTGTCCTGGGATCTCATTGATTTCAGATTCCCTGTCCCAAGCCTACACCCAATTTCCTGCTGCAGCTGGGGAATCAAGTAGTATCCTGTGGCTGGAAGTACATGCAAAAGACTAGTCTATGATCTAAAAAAAAAAAAAAGAAAAAGAAAAAAAAATAGATGTCATCTCTTGATGGGTGGAACTATAAAATACAGTAGCCAACTTTTCAACCTACCATGGAAAGAACCCTCAGTCCTCTGAAACTCTGGTAGATGTCTTAGGATCTTAAAACATGGCTCTGATGATATCGCCAAAGACAAGTGCCAAAATCATTTAGGGCAGGGCAGTCTTAACATTGGTTTAGTTCTTATCATTTGTTTAGTAGTTATCCAAAGGATTTACTTTGGAGGAATCAAGACACATCTAGATGAAGAAGTTTTGTTCTTGTTAAACAGTCCATTTGGTTACTTCTTAGTTATCCCTGAGGGACAAATCTGGCTTCTTGTTGCACAGTATTCACCATAGATAATGGTTGTAATTCCTACCTGAAGCTCCTGGCCAGAAGCCCAGCAGAAAGATTCAGTATATGCAAAAAAAGATGGCTCCAAGAACAGTTACGTCTTCTGTTCTAACTGTCTTTCCTTCCTTCTTTAACGTACTTGTCTAGTCCCAAGGCTTTAGATGCCAAGCCTTTGATAATAACATGTAGCTAAGTCCCTGCTGGACATTTTCATGTCTCAAACTTAACATGTCCAAATTGAAACTCTTGATTCTGCCCCAAACTTGTTTGAACCCCAGTCTTCGCAGAAAACTAGGTGCCATCCTTAATTCTTTGATTTTTCTCTTTTTTTAGCCTCCTCGTCTAATCTAGTGGCAGGTCCTGGGGTTTTACTTCTAACTGTATCTCAAATCTGATCACTTTTCTCCATTTTCATTGACATGACCTTGGTCCAGGCCACCATTGTTTTCTCCCCTAGAGAGCTACCATAGGAGTTCCTAATGTCTAACGTTTCCCTACTCACATAATTACTCCCCTCTATTCCATTCTCCACACAGGAGCAATGTTTTATATGTATATGGTAGAGACAGGGTTTTGCTGTGTTGCCCAAGCTGGTCTCAAATTCTGGCCTCAAGCAATCCTCTTGCCTTGGCCCCCTGAGTCACTGGAATTGTAAGTATGAGCCACCATGTCCAGTCTCAATGCAATCTCTTAAAAATCTTAATAAATGAATAGCTCAGTAACACTGAGGTTTACTTCAGTACCACACATGAAAACAATCCAAGCCTTGGCATGATGGTGAAACCCTGTCTCTACAAAAAATTAGCTGGGCATGGTGGCCTGCACCTGTAGTCCCAGCTACTTGGGAGGCTGAGGTGGGAGGATTGCTTGAGCACTGGAGGTCAAGAATATAGTGAGCCATGATTGTACCACCATGCCACTCCAGCCTGGGTGACAGAGCAAGACCCTGCCCCCCCTCAAAAAGAAAAAAAAAAAGGAAAGAAACAGAGAATTCAGAGACTTCCATTATTATTAATACTATAATAATAATAATATTCTGTTTCTAGCCCTGAATCTGCTCCTAACTTACCATAGGATCTCGGGTAAATCATTTCCTGTAATAATTAGCTATCACCTCTTCCTTGTTTTTTCTTTTGTAGTACTACTACTCCCTCACCCAATCCAAGTGATTCTAGTGAAGACTGTCAATAAAGGGAGCATGTGATCAAGCAGGGCCCATCAGAATCCTTCCCTAAGATTTTTATTAAAAAGTGGGACCTATTCTTTTTCCATTTGAGTGGCAAATATGTGAAGATATGAGGTCTAAAACTGTGATGGCCTATCCTCAACACCTGTGTAAATTCTGGTCTCTAGTAAGAGAAAACAAAGCCATTAGGCAGAGGGAAGCAGAGACATAAAGTGAGAAAGAGTGTGGCCTATTGTTTTCCAGACCCTGATTCTTATTTCTTGAAGTTTGGCTGATCACCTCTTCCTTTGATTCTGTTAGAAAGCTCAGCGTATCTTTCTAATAAAACCCCCATTTGCTTTGCTTGTTAGAGTTAGGGTCTTATAACTTGCAACCAACCAAAAATATATGGTCTCCTCTTTGGTTCGCAGTTTTCTCATTTATATATCCTAGCTCCGAAGTACAGAAATTCTAATTTTTAAAAAGCTGAGTCTTTTAGAAAATCTCACTAATATGGACTTTTGATCAAGACACTGTAATTATGGAAAAGAAGCCTACCCTCATCTCAATCCTCTCTTCTTGTACCTAAAAGCATGAAGAAGAGTGATTTCTCAAGGTGAGATGCAGTTCTCCATGAACACTGATGACAGCACAGGCAAAGATGCCTATGACTAGGGATCACTGGTCTGCACAGAGTCTGACCTCCCAGGTATCCAGTAGGTAGACAAAACAGCTAACTCCTCTGCCATTCCTTCTCCACATTTGTTCCTATTTCTTAGTCATCTCAGTGACATCTGCCATCTTGAGAGTCAACTACTGGCTGGACTGAGCTGTGTGGTATATGCTTCTGTTTACTTTCTTCCATTACTTTTAAGTTGCCAAATGGCAAATGCTTAAATAGGAATCTCTGGGAGACTTGAATAAAAGACTTTTCTTGGTAGAAAATCATGTCACAGAAATGCCAATAGACAGTAAGTCGACAAGTCCCCGAGCAGTAGGATTAGGATTCCTGTCTCCCTTCAGATTCTAATACCTCCTCCTGGGGGTAACAGTGGACTGGACTGGGATAAACCTAAGAGGCTGTGCAGCTTGGGTTAAGTCATTCTTATTTCTGGGTTTCAGGAGCTTAGACCAGATGGTTTCTACAGGCTCACTTGGTGCCGATGCTTTGGGATTCTGTGGCTGTTTTCTCTAAGAGCTGCAAGGGCAAACAGGATTTTGGCAGCAATCCTTCCATTACTAAAGCCTCCTTTCTTTTTGGGTACAGTGAAAAGAGCCAAGGTGGTATGACTCCCTCATCACTTAGCCAGGCATATGGTCCTGGTTTCTGAGCCTGCCAGAAAGCATCTTAGCAATGTGTATCTGGATGGTCCATGCCTGACTATCCCAGGCTGGAGGTTTCTAAAGAGTAACAAGAGGAAGAGAAACAAGAATCTCTGACACTTGTTGAGAATAGAGCACAGTCCCATTTGTTTGAGAAGAGACATCAGGCAGCCATGTTTATGTGCCAGAAATGCATTCCACTTCAAGGAGGACATAATTTATGGACCAGCCTATGCCAGGCTGAGGAGGGCAAGATCTTTGTGATCATGCAAACTCTGCCATGCAGCTGGAAGCCTGGAAACTAAAAGGATTGCTTGTAGTAAACTATCTTCAAGGGCCGGGCGCGGTGGCTCACGCCTGTAATCCCAGCACTTTGGGAGGCCGAGGCGGGTGGATCACGAGGTCAAGAGATCGAGACCATCCTGGTCAACATGGTGAAACCCCGTCTCTACTAAAAAAAATACAAAAAATTAGCTGGGCATGGTGGTGCGTGCCTGTAATCCCAGCTACTCAGGAGGCTGAGGCAGGAGAATTGCCTGAACCCAGGAGGCGGAGGTTGCGGTGAGCCGAGATGGCACCATTGCACTCCAACCTGGGTAACATGAGTGAAACTCCGTCTCAAAACAAAAAACAAAACACAAAACAAAAAAAACCTATCTTCAAACCACTGTAAGCATCAGACCACAGGATGAGGCTTCAGAAGGTCGTAAGGCAGAGTAGTTAAGGACACAGGGCTTACAGTCTGACAAACCTGGGTTCAATTCTTGGGTCTTCGTCACTTACTAGTTTTGTGACTATTGGA